TCCACTAGGGTTCCTATGAAGGAACCACGACAGCATGACACCTTTGAAGTTTTCACATGGGTACACGGTGTTGTCCTCGAGTGGGAAGGACTTTGAAGAACACCAAGAGCAAGCCCTCCAACACGTGTTAAACCGCAAGTTTGGTTTCCCTTTCTCATTTCCCTGCGTGTGGGCTGACATCACTGATCCAATGTCGACCCCGGATTTATCACCCTGGATTCAAGGGTGGTGGGTCCCTCCAAAAGGGATCCAGAATCCCGAACAAAATGCGAGACCCCCTGTCAAAACCAAGGGGTTCGATCCAGGAACAAACACAACACAATTGTAGACATTGGACTTGCCCAGCAAACAAGACAACCGCTGAAGTAGTTTTCTATTAAACAGATCAACAGTCTGGTAAGCCGATTTTCCACCATCTTCCTTGATTTCAACCACTACTTCTTGCTCATACCAACCCTTTCGCGAACGAAAAGGGGTTGCGGCGCCTGCACCAGGCTGAGTGAAGCAACTGCCCCCAGCCTTTGGTCTGAAGATCTATTCCCCCCCCCCCCCCGAATCGTAGAGGTGGACATGGGGCTTCCAACCCCCTCCGATCGTCAGCTTCCGTTGATTGGAGGGTGTACACGCTTCAACTTCGAGTCTTTGGCATCTCGGGTCAAGGACTTTGTGGTAGCACCTTTTTGGCTGAAGAAACACCTCGAGCATCCGAAGCTCAGCATCAGCCTGGCTGAAACAAGCCGAATACACTGGAAATGAATCTGGCCGCGGCAAATGGCGAGCACCAGTCTCCCCATGATTTCTTTTTGTTCTTGTGATTGCTTTGTTGAACTGAGTTTCCTTTCGGATCCTGAAACGGAGTCTGGAGCTCTGAGGCTGGGACCACCTTCGTGCTGAGGCGCGGGGAACTTGACCAGCCGGGTCGGGCCCCAAAGCCAAAATCAAGCCGCCCAAAGACCCGAGACTCTTCAAGGCCACTCCTTCTCAACTCGCCTCAAGGCCCTTTGCTGGCTCTTTTGCAACTCCACGGTTTTGGAGGTAGGAGCTGGTGTAAAAGGTGGCCTTTGCGAAGGGCACTCCTGACTCTCGGCACTTCTTGGCACAAAAACTCACGTGGTGTTTATCAGAGCGATTGATGGAGTGCGAATGATTTTGTGTGGTTGCTTTTGATGCCCGGCGCATGAATGCCCTCGAAAGCAGTGATCATCGATCTTTTTTGTTTTTGTTTTTTTGTGAGCTCACCTGGGTGTTTTAAAGGCAAGCTCCCGTGATGTAGGTCCTGTACTCGGCGATCCCTAATTTCAGGTTTTGGAATTGCACAATTTGCAGACAAGTACGGTATGGCATGATCACTTAGCTTGACAATTTGGTCGCAGGACGATTTGAATCCAGGAGCGATCAGCTAGATGGAAAGCCGATGGATGCTGATTCTTCACCAGCTTGATGACATGTACGAAGTTTTTGCGGCAGTTCGCATGTTGTCCTCAGTGGGGTTGGACAACTTTGCAAGAAGATGCCCTGCCAGCAGAAGGTCAACCTCTCGTCAACATAGTTCCGGTTCTAAAGCCTTGAGTCCTGCAAACTGTCACAGAACCCAATGAAAAACCTATTCATTTATAGAGCAGTCTTCTTTTTGGTCGCGGCCCCCAGAGTGGGTTCCTGCCGTTGAGTCAAAAGCTGGACCATGGATGAAGGGAGGTTCCTTAAGACATCCAGCATCCGGGAGTCACCACCAGGAGTTTTGCCGCAGTGTGGCAAGTAGCTGGTTGGTTGGCGTGTGTGTGTGTGTGTGTGTGAGGTTTTGCAGATCAGGTGTCCAAATCCCTTGGACAAGGTTCTCAGCCAACACTAGGGAAGTAGAAGAAGGTAATGAAGCAACTCCAGATCACTCCAGCTAATGCATTATAGGGGTGTTTTGGCCATTGAGGTGGTCAACAAATTGCGAAGTACATTTCGCGAGTTTTCCGGGCCCTTTTCAGGTAGTCCTGATTTGGTGGTTGGCATTGGTGGTTTGGGGGTTTGACCGTGGGGTTCTTGAGGGGGAACGGAAAACCACCCCTTGGCCTCAAAAGCACCGGGCTCCAAATCAAGCGGGCAGCCCTTTGGGTCAGCACTAGGTGTTGGCGCTTGCGCCTCAACAGCCTCTTCTGCTTCCAGGCGAGATGGGAACTGTGGGCCGCCGGTTGCACTTTCACCCACCCCCCCACTTCCGTTTTTTCTTTCTTCTTCTTCTTCTTCTGTTTCTTCTTCTTTTGTTTTGTTTTCTTTTTTTTTGCCCCTCTGCGCAAGCTTTTTTTGTTTTTCTTTTTTCCCCTAGAAAAGAAACGCACCATTTTGATGGCTTACCTCCGGGTCATTCCAAGCGAGGTGATCGTGATGATGTGGCTGCGGTACACGGTGGACCTGGGCATGGACATCCAGGCCATGGGGATCTTCCTGCAGCACAAGCAGCCCTGGTTCTTCATCCTGCGCCTCGGATCGGTGGATCCCGTCGGTGCCGTCGGTGCCGTCCGACCAGAGCAACCGGGTCTTTGGGAACTGCTCGGGGTCGTGTTTTTTTTGCTTGGGTGGGGCGGGAAGGGAATCTTTCATTGGGGTTGGAGAAGGCACATTGGAGTTTTGAGGGTCAGGTGTTCGGGGGATGGAAAGCTCAAGCCCATGTTTGGTCCGGCTTCGAGACATACGTAAGCCTTTGGCGTGGCTCAAACCATGTTTGCATCTCTGTTCTGGATTGGTTATGAACGGACCTGCTGTCGAAACGTGGAGAAAGAGCCAGAAGCCGAGGAGCACGCCAAAGCTCCTTAGTGCTTCTCGCTCTGTTGTTTTTTGAGGTGGCCATGTTAGGGTTGGTTTCCAGGAGAACCAAATGGAAGCCCCATCTTTCACCGGCCGCCTTTTTGGACACACACACACACACACCCTGAGAGCTCCGTGAAGCCTCGCGCCAGTGCCAGCAGCCCACGACTCAGGAACCTTTTGGGGGTCTTCCTGGGCCTGCTGTGGACCGCCTACGAGTTCTACATGGTGACTCGTGGGATTGAAGTCTTTCACCTGGGTCTCAGGAGCAATAGAGCAGTTCTTCTCCAAAGATCCAGATCCGCAGAAAGCCGTTCCAGACCCAAGGTACAATCCAGTGCCATGTTGATGGCTTCAAGCATGAAGCGGTTGGTTTCGTGTTGGTTCTTGAGGCCCATTTTTTCACAGTGCCTGAGAATCCAAGCGATTGGAGCGTGTATGGCCTCAGCGCTATGCGTCTGAAAATATTGGATTGTTTGGTGCTCCTGTTTGTCAGACAACACACAATTCAATATAGAACCATTCAGCATGGATATTCTGGGTCATTGTTTGTCTCGTCGATTCCAAGCTGTGCCAGTAAGTCATGTTGAACCAGCCAAAAATGCCATCAACGACAGGGCATGTTTCCAAATCTATGACATGTTGAATTTGAATCTAAGTCGATCATCCAGCTAGGGGATCCCAGTTGCAACTATAGTAACTATACATTTTTGAACTTTAGATAGATTGCGCATGGAAGGGAAATTTGAAGCCAAACCGAATGGGAAGTTTGTTTGACATGCGATTTAAGTCTGGATTTTCCCTTTGACGGTACCCTTTCTTAGGTTGGTTTAAAGTTTAAAGGGAGCCCACGACGAAAACCGATGTCAATCTTGGGTGTTCCTCTATTTCGAGATCATCTTGTTTTGGTTCAACCCAAAAACCCATGGTAAGAATTTAAGAGGCAAGTATCAGTGATTTCCCCCAGACCAAAGGGTAATACAGCTAACGCCTCCGTTTCAACCCATTAAGTAGGGTATCCATTTAGCGGGTCCATCCATCAGTTCGCCTTGTTAAAAAACCATCCCAAAAAGGCCCCTCAACAAAAGACACACCCGCTCCCCCCCCCCAAAAAAAAAAAGAGAAACATAACAAGAGAGAACAAACACGAAAAACACCAGGGCTTTGGTTTCCTCTTCTCCCTTTAACCCCAAGCCCAAAAAACAGAGACGCCCTCAACCACCAAGACCTACCTTGACCCTTTATCTAGGGTGCCAAAAACGCCTCATGTCTTGGATCCGTTCTTTTTCCTTCCCAACAGCTGAAAGCTTTGGGGTTTCAGCCCAGGTAGGTTCCGGGGTGGTCCGGGGCGGCCCTGACGTAAGGTTCCACGAGGGTTCCACCAGTGTTCCACCAGGGTTCCACCAGGCTTCCACCAGGGTTTCACCAGGTTCCACGATGTTCTGCGAGGGCGGGGTGTGAGCGCTAGAAAGAGCACCGCATGCTGTTGGGGGTATCACCTGAGTTTTTTTTTGCGGGTGCCAAAAACAAACCTCTCATTTTTGATCGATCCGCTCGACAGACCAGGTGATCACGGCGCCGAATTCCAAGATCACCAGCACGGAGATCTTCTTCTCGGGGCTCACGCTGCCACTGCTGGGCCAGCACGTGACCTTCCTGGCCCTGCTGTCCCTGCCGCTTTCTCGCGCGCCAGAAAACAGTCCCCCCCCAGGCGGTTTTTTTGGAGTGGCCCAAGGCAGGCGAAAGGAAACCGTGAAGGGCTCCCGAGCTTTTGGCAAATGGGCTCTTGTGAGTACGTGCTAAAATGGGGCGTTGGACCTCAAAGATGGGTTGGTTTTTGTCGGAATTCAATTGAAGCTAGATCGAAAGGGGCACAGACAAACACGCATGGGTGTTTCTCCAAATGGGGATTCCCGTGTTGGATGGTCTTAACGGCCAACCAAAAGGACATGAACTACCTGAAGGGGTCCCTATGTTTGAGAAACTCTCAGATCTGATTCCATACTTGGGTTTGTGTCTTTTTTGAGGCTTTGTTGATGGCTTCAAAAGGGACACCACAGAAAATCCGAAGACCATTTTTGGGGTTCCCTGTTTTGGGACAGACTCATCTGGTCGTGTTTATTGAAACGGCCAGAACAAAGGGAACCAGTTTGAGCAGTAGCGCTTCGAACATGTTTGAGCAACAGGCAACCCCTAGGGGTGCCGATATAGGTTTGATGGCACATGCCGTTGGGATTTTTAACCCAAGGATCTCGAGGCATGTCGACAGAGGCTTGGTTCCTGTTGATCAGGAAGCGAGCCCCTTTCAAAAAGAGAAGACACACCACCGACCCAATTCTCGGGAAAAAAAACAAACAAACACTTGGGAACTTGCAAGAAAGATGGCATCTTCCCAAATCTAAGTACAGCTTCCCCTTTTGCGCTGAGCAAAAATCAAGCCGCGCGGGAGTGAGTTGTGTCCATGCCAGTGAGCTCAGGTGGCGAGGCGAGCTGCACCCCTTCCTCTTCGTGTCAACTCTGGCAGAGGCATCTCCGGGAGCTTCGGATGCCGACCGCTAGTCACAGGGTTGACAGATCTCACACAGATCCCCTTGTATCTAGCTGGTTTTGGCCCAAGTGATTCTGTGGGAAGGGGTTTGTAAGGGGGCTGCCCAAAAAATACACAATCCTATGAGTTAGGAAATGAAAGGCCAGCAAAAGCAAACTCCAGGATAATCCTTGGAGTTATGCTTCACGCGAATTTGTGTCAAGCCATTCAAGCGGTAGAGTTTGCCTTTTCTAGTTCAAAAACACATTGCGTTTTGATTGCCAATCTCAATGGAGCAGGGCTTGACACTTTGATATTTCTCATTATCTCGTGCCTTTCTTTCTTCGGAAATTTTGAAGTAGATCACCAGCCATTAGAGAGGTTTTTGTTCAAGAGGTTTTTGTTCAAGAGGTTCACTTGGAAGTAGTACTTTGTCTAAGAGGTTTTTGCTTTCGTTCCCCAGCACTGCTGTATGGGGTCTTACGCCCACCTCCCCCTCTGATTTTCCATCCGGCGGCGATCGATCGAGGCGATCCTGGAGTCCTCCTTCTCGTCCTTCATCCAGACCTATGCGGTGGTCTTCACCGAGCTCACCTGGATACAGAGGAGACGTCTGAGGTTGTCGACGGCGCTAAGGGGACCCGTTTTTTCTTTCTTTTTTTTTCTCCCCCGCCGCGTTTTTTTTGGGTCCAGTTGGGGGCGTTTTTTTAGGTGGGAGTCCGTGTTGGGGGTTCTTGGGTCCCGTTTTTTGGGAGAACTGCGTTTCTGGTCGCGGTGATTTTTGTGGGTTTCCTAGAAGCGAAGAGCACAAGCTCACCCTCGGCGACCCTCGCCAAGAAGTCCATCTCACGATGTTGCGAGTCGATTTGCCATTTGGGATCCGCCTGATGGGGGGATGTCCAATCTAAGAGGGGACCCAGCTCACTGTGCGGGAATCAACAAACTTCGAGGATCCGTTCGGGTCTAGAGCACGCAGGGTTCCGATTCTTCTGTACCAGGTACCACCAGCCAAGAGACTTCTGGGCCTTCAACATATCCCAGTTCAGTGGCAGCCTTTTCCCATATTTTTGTTTGGTGCCCCACCTTGGCCCGTTTTCCTCTTCATATGGTTATATGGGGCGAGGCCAACCGAAATCTACCTGGACCTTTGGGGAAGGACACGGATCTCAGGAGCCAGCTCTACATCTCGGTCTTCATGTCCTTCGTGTCCATTGGCTACGCCTTCAGCACCATCGATGCCTTGCCAAAGGGGCGGGTTGCGGGTGGGGTGGGTTCGCCAGAGCCACGTCCTCAGTGGAGTGTCCTCAAATTAGAGAAGGACACACTCACGTTCACGGTGATTAAAAGGGGAAGGGGAACAGCCAATATGTTCCAGAGTCCCCTATGCACTGAGATGCTGCAAGTAGGAAACGAGGGAAGCCTTGTAACTTTCAATGTTGTGTGGTTGGCTTACCTGTATATTTGGGGAATTGCCCTCTGTCGTCAGCGGGGGTAACAGCAGTTGGCTTCATCTGGGGCCTGTGGCATGTCCGGCGGCCTCGGTTCAAAGCGCTCGGCCTTTGAAGCCTTGCCAGTTGAGGCGATTTCTATCAGGCTGTCGCGGCACATGACGCAGAACTTGGTTTTGTGGACCTTCAAAGCGTCTAAACCCAGAATCAAATCACAAGGCTAGAGATTGCCAGGGAGCATGCTACCGTTTTTGGAGCAAGCTTGATAAAGTTGGAGAGTTGAAGCAAGTGGAACTACTCTTCTCCATGCCATTCGCCGTTTTGAAGTCTTTCAGTTATGCTTGAGTTCCTCATGTCTCGGTGGCTCTTTGGTGTGGCCTTTGACTTTGGTTGACTTTTTGGAACATGGATTTCGATACTTGCTTCACGACTTCGCTTGGAACATCGGGACATGTCCTGACCCAACGGAACCATGGTCTTGGATTTGCCAATTTTTTGCGGAATGTGTCACGTTTCCGGCGGAGCGGATTCTGTTGGGTTTGCCTCGGGTGCTTCTTTCGCTGCGCCGTTGGATTGTTTGCCTGGAAAGAAGGATCCTGGGAAAGGGCAGGATATCTCGCTCCCTGAATTCATGGATATCTCTCATGGAAGTTGTACTTTGAGTACCATTTAGTGGCAATCAAAAGGTTCGGAATGGTTTGGCCCAATCTTCTCAGGAAGCCAGATACCCAAAGATTTGCAGATGGGTTTACCTTTTACTTAAGATGTTTGGTCGCGGATCACTTTTGTCGCAAAGCTTGGGATCATCCGTGACGAGTCGTGTGGCTTTTGATTTCCTTTACCACTGAGTATCTTGTTTTGCTGCCTGCGTTGTCTAATGGAACTTGATGCGCAAAGCAATAGACACAGCCGAAATTACAAGCTCAACAGCAGCACACATGCACACAAAAAGACCCAACAGGAAAACCCAAACATTCATCTTCCGCAACGGTGGGTGCGCTAAGTTTTGGAAGCTTCTTCCCGCTTTTTCGATTGGACATGCTTTTCCTTCAAGCGATGTTTGCCCTGCTTTTCGGCTGCTCTTGGTACTTCCTTCGCCCCAAAAAACTTCTTAGCCGATCATGTAAGCCTTGCCGAACATAGGGCCTCCTTTTCGGACCTTTGTACTGCCTTTCAAGGGCGGGGGGCGTCCCAAAGAGAGGTCAGCATTTTGTCAGCCTGAGTGTGACCACATCTGAAGTTCACGGTACTAACAACCCATAAACCTAATTTCCCCCAACCAAAAAGACAATCGGACAGCAAACGCCTCACCATTTTACCACCAGTTTCCTTATGTCCCCCTTTTGATGGTTTTGCAAGGGGAAATACGGGTATATGTCACAATCGGGGGACTCCAGTTACAAACAAAGAGCTAAATAACTAAATGTACATTTCCCCTTTCTGGTAGTTTAAACCTCAAACCTCCCCTCGTTGGCCAAATTGGCCAAAAAAAACCGGTGCCTTGGATGGCTGCTGCTTTCACGCCTCTTCTCGAGGATATGTTCCAGGGGGGCCGGATGCTGGTGAAGATCCCCGGCTTTTGCAAGAGCTTTAACGGCCGCCCCTTGACACTGATGTTTCGCCGGGCGTGGGTTTTGGGAGTTACCCTTTGGTCGGTTTGGAAGGAAATCAAAAGGAAAGCCGAAGCCGGAGCCATGCTTGGTATCTCCCTATTTTGGCTACCCAAAGGTTAGAAGCTAGACAAGCCTTTGTCGGAAAGAAGCCTGAACCGTCGGGGTTTGGGGTCTGTGAAGGGAGTGGTGGGGTTCCTGATTTTATGTCCAGACTTTTGCGTAGCCTTGTTGCCCTTAAAGGCCCTTTTGCTTTTTCTTCATTCCCTGTTTCCTCCTTTTTGCAGGGGGGAAGGATGCCGATGAATGTCACGGCTTTGGTGGTTGGCGGCACTTGTATCGGACCCAAGTCCGATTCAAATGTGTGTGTTTGTTGTGTTGAGTGTAGCTGATTGAATCAACATGGAAGTCCAAACTTCGGTGCCCCCAAATTACGACTCACCCCCTTGTTGGCTTGGGCCATCTAAGTAGTGGTTGGCTCAAGCATCCATCATCCACATTGTTAGTGATCAGAGGACTGTTCTCACTCTCAGTCGCTTCTCTTCATCCGTTGACGTGTTGTTTGTTTCAATTTAAATGGGTGGCAGCAAAAACATGGTCGGGAAAGCTTTCACAGGTCGTCAAAGCTGTCACGGTTCGGCAAAGCAAAGTTTCCAACTTCCAGTCACTTCTGTTGTGTTGTCTGTGAGTGACTTTGGAACCACCATCATGGCCTTTGGACGGCAGCCCGAGGGAACCAACATGGACACTGCATGACGACTTTAAAAACTTATGGGACAAGCGCGACGGGCGTTTAAACCCAACATACGCTGGCTTTTTGATCCACAGCGGTGACGTTTTGGACGTGGTGGGATCAGGCCGGCATTGCAGAACTCGTTTCACAGATATCTCTGCCTGGCCAAGGCAATTGCCTTGCAAAACAAAGTCCTCCAGGATGATCCACTTTGGTATAGATTTCGTGTCATTCCCACGACCATTGTCCAGGGGATTGCTAATTAAATGGCGGGTGCCGCATGTTTTCCAGGGGAACAAGCTGGAGGGCATATTCCAGAGCCATGGGCAAATACGGGGTGGATCATATGTACTGACGGTCAAGTTTTCCATTGGTTTACTCTGAAAGTCCCCCCATGAACATATTCTGTCCTCCGGAAAACACATCGCTCCGAAGGGGGAGGAGAACCAATCGGCAGCCGTTTGTTGGACTTTGGACAATTCGAGGCTTCTGCGTGGTCTTCGTGTTCCGGGTGGCCGAGATCACCTCGCGGGCCACCAGCCTGGCGCTGTTCCAGGCGCGCGGATTCGCCGAAAAAAGGCGATGTCCGTTTGGGCTGGGTGGAACGTGTCAAACGCGGAGCCCAAAAACGTAGGTGGCTGGGAAGTGGCTTTGGAGTTACCGTCTTTCCATTTTTTTGTGTGTGTGTGTGTATGTTTTTAAGGAAAAGAGGAAAACCGAAGCCATGTTGAGGTCCGATTCCGAGAAGAAGCCACCCATGTTGGGTTGGTTCCATCGAAATTCGGTGCGGCAAATCTCTGGAGGTTTCTCAAAATGTCGCTGAGCTTGTGGCTGGCTCGGTTGCCTTCCATTGGGCAAGGGCTTTGCAAGCCTTTACCAGCATGGCAGAACCAACAGTCACCTTTTTTGGCGCTGCTCAATGCTTTTTTGGGTCCCTTTTGCAAGATATAGCATTTCTGTTTCTGGGCTCCCCCCTTTGTAGTTTCGTTCTTTGTGGGTCACTACCGCACTACCAATTGAATCAAGGTTGGTCAGCAACGAGGGAGCACTTTGCCCTGGCTGCTCCTTCTGGTTAAAGCATGGTCAAGTGGCCAGGACCGTCTGAGCCATAGTAAAAGCTTGGGTAGTTGGGAGTTTCTCAAAATGGACCCCTATATTGAGAAACACCCGGTTCGGGTCTTGTAGGGGGACAGTCAAAACAGAACAATAGGTGTCGATTCTCATGTGCATCAGGCAGTGACACGGCCCTACGGCATGTTCGTGCTGATTGCGGCGGACGGTTTCTTGGCGGCCATTTGGATCCACATGCCCGCGTGCTATTTCGTGGGTTTTGCACAACATATTTTCTCAACAAATCCATTTTATGTTTTTTCCTCTTTTCTCAAACAACAACACCTAGCCAGGCGTGTTTTCCTCGCCGCCACCATAAGCTCATGGGCTGTTCGACTTGCGCCCGCAGGTTTGGTGATGTCCTGCGTCACCATGTTCTTCCAGTGCCGGGTGGGGAAGTTCGCGCCCGGGGACCGCATCGCCTTCGTGCGCCCTTTGGACGGGATGGGATGGATGTGAATGGAATTGGTCGAATTTACTTGGCGATTTTCCCACCACTGGTTTCTTTGGCTCAAAGGAGCTCCTAGTTGGTAAGTCGGTGGTTATTGGGGTAACTGGGGTTGGTCATTTACTTGGTGATTTTCTGCAATAATGTTTTCTTTGTCTGAAAAGGAACTGCTATGTGGAAAACCTAGTTTTAAGAGTTTTCGTCCAGCCAACCGTTGAGGGAGGTTAAGATATCTTTTTAGTGATTTGGGAGTGAGGGTTGGAGCAAGAAAATAGCAATCTGAAAATTAAGAGCAAACTGAAAAGCAAGAAAAAAGTGATTCACTTGCAACAGTTGACAAAAAAAGCAAGAAACATGTGATCAGATGGTCATCAAATAGGCGTGGCGTTGGCTGACCGATATAGCCGTGGTTGTAGCAAACTTACTAAGGTTGAACATCCAAGCCGGGGCTGGGGTTGTGCGTGGACATTTGGACCGCTCAAATGCAAGGGATAGTTCCAAGTTGTTTGTATCCGCAAGACAAGATTAGACAAATGGAATTGGACCTGAACGCTGCTCTCCTCCCAACAAGACTTGTTTTAGTGGTCGCGGGGCGGTCCTCAAGCGTATTGGAAGAGGTGCTTCTTCATCTTTGGTGAACCTGGGTTTGTTTGAGCCAACCTTGCCTTACTTGTGGGGAGGGCTTTTCTTCCCTCCTCACGTAGATTGCCCTCACACGGCCCATTGTCTTGGTGTTAGCATACTCGGTAACCCTTCCGAGGCTTTGCATGGGGGGGTTAAAACTGGGGCTCAATTCACACTTCGCGATTTCGCCTGCATCCAAGTGGAGCGAATGGCATCCTTCAAACTTTCGTCACGTACCCGTCTGATGGGCGGCTGGGGCGTTTGGGCTCCAAAGAGAACCGAGGTCAGAACTTCTTCTACGTGATCCCCTCGGTGCTTTGCTGCCGAATGGCGCACCTTGGAACTGTTCAGCGGCACTTGTAGTTCTTGGTGGCTCCTGCATGCTAGCGAGTATGGGATGTGTTTTTGCTGGTCTTTAGCCGAATCACCCCTTTGGATGTTTCATTGGATTTGGCAAAGGCGATCCATGTTTGCTTTCCAGGCCTTCCAAGACAGATTCGCTCCCTCCTCCGGCTTGGCAGCCACCAAAACCGTGGCAGCTGAAGGTTAGGGATGGTCCCTGCCACAAATAACTATGCCTTTTAATAGGGAACCGCAGGGAACCAGCTCCAAAACGGTTGGTGGACAAACATCGCCACCTAGATGCTGTCCACCATCATTAAGATTCATGCACAAAATATGTGCAGCTGCCCTCTTGATGCTCCACCTGGCTTTGGGTAGATCACTTTAAGACCTTGTTTTTTTCCACTGAGCAAATAGGCTGCTTCAGGGTTAGCGGAAGGTTGGCAAGAAGTGGACATGATGTATTTGCCCGACAATGGCGGCAAATCAATGCTCGTGTTGGGGTCACGCTATTGAGAGGGGTGAGGATGCAGTGGAAGTTGTATCCAAACTCGGTTGCTGTTCCTTTCTCCTTTTGGAGGCTGCCAACTTTCACATGGGAGCAAGTCACTAGTTAGTTAGTTTTGAGAAAGTTTGTTTCGCCAGGACAAACAAACTTATGGCCGTCGACGGAACCTTTGTTTCTCTGGACAAAACAAACCTTTTTTTCCGAACTCATGCTTATATCATTCTGTCGCATATGCGGAAACCAACGTTTCCAATAGAGGAACACACTTCGTCCGTGTGCAAGGTTTGTTTCCTGTGAACGTTTGTTTTGCCATGGGAAACTTCTCGGAAACCCTAGAATGGCTACCTTGGAAACTTGGAAAGCAAGCATTTCATCGCAGAGTTTTGTTTGTTTGTTTTCTGGGAAACTCTGAAAGGAAACTCACAGGTAGAAGGTTAGTTCCGCATACCAAAACATACTTTTCGGACAAACTATTGTTTCAGAGCTGAAAACAATCCTTTCGTGAACTCGGTCTGTGAGTTTGTTTCATTGCACGCAGACTCAAGTTTCGGAGGAAGGTTTGTTGTGTCCGCCAAAACGTTTGTTTCTATACCAGTCTTTTGGTCCAGGCAAACGTTTGTTTCGAATGTGATGTTCCGGGACGGCCACTGGCGCGTCTCCGGCTCCGCCACAGCGACTGGCTTCGCCACCTTTGTGGCTTCTCCGCAGCCACGGTCACTGGCTCCGTATGTGCCCGATATGCGGTGTTTGTATGCATTGTCCACGCATGATTCCTATGAAATTGTCAGCCTTTCTTCGTCTTTCCTGTGCATGTGGCATGCGCTTCTGTCTGCACTTTTGATGCAGCCGGTATGCAGATGAGTGCTGGAGCGGAGCTGAGCAGATGAGAGCCGGAGCGTCGCCGGGCCGGAGCCGGAGCTGAGCCAAAGGCAGCGAGGCAGAGCGGAGGTGGATCGACACGAGAGCTGGCTGGATGGGTACTGAGCGCGCGATTACAAGCAACGGACACAAAGCCGAACAACAGCCTGATAAAGAAGCGGGGGGGTTGGGGGGGGCGCAGCCCCCCCATTAGAATTAGAAAAGCCAATAACCTACCCGAGGCCCCTAAAACCTTTTTTTCTCCAGCACCAGTTGGAGAAATGATGTTTTCGTTTGACAATCTGCGCACCAGATCGGTTTTTCAGCGCCAGAACGGCTTTTAGAACAACAAGGTGATTTCGGAAGTTTTGCGTAAATTGTACGACATGCGAACAGTTTGCGAACGGGCTTTGAACGCTCTACGAGTAGTATTCCCAACATCGAATCCCAGGCACGGCCCATGACATGACGCAAAAAGAACGTAAACATGCACTGGGCTACGTGAAAGTAACGCAATTGATGAACTCCCAACAAGCCACGTCAGCAACACAAGGTTCGGTTTGCTCTGCAAACCCGAGCGATTGTTGTAGCACCAGTGTTGAGATTTTAACACCAAGAAGGCAAACCGATGTTGTCCGGAAAAGGATCAAACTCAACCTTTTTTGGGGCAGCGGGTAGTAGAGAAAGCCCGCTTTACTAACAAGACAACAGCACCCCGCCCCCCCTTGCCCCCTTCCAAATAACAATCCGCGCTCCCCACCCCCAACAACAACCCCCCGTTGTTGTTCGAGCATCCCCCCCCGACATTATTCGAACAATCGTAACCCACTCCCCCGCAATATCACAAATTCACCCTCCGCCAATTATTGTTCCAACAATTAAACTCCCCCTCCCCCCACAACCATTCCCGCCGCCCAATTGTTCTTCTCGGGGGGAGGGGGAGAGGGCTCGTTGCTCGGCGCGTCACACGCAACTTTGCGCAGCTGAACTTAACAACTGCCTAGCCACTTGGTGGTGTTGCTGGTGATGCTAGGGGTGTCATTTGTGATGCTGGAGATGTCTGGCTGCACGTACCCAAGAAACTAACAAAGTGTCACTTCCGACCCTGGAAACATCAGTTTTCCCAACCTTCCATTTTTTTTCTGGGCGCCGCCTTCCCGCGCGGCAAGAAAGGTTAGTTTCCACCCGAAAAATTAAGTTTTTCGGCTCCAGAACCTGTGTTTTCGAGCCTCTCATCTAACTTCTCTTCGGCCAGGTCAACCTTTGTTTTTCCTTGAGAAAACAAACTTTCTTCGTCTGAGTTAGTTTGTTTCCCAGCCCTGGGGCTGCCGGCGCCCTGTCACTGAGTTTCACACAAAGGGTTCCACCTGAAAAACTAACGTTTGTTACTCGAATTAAGAAACTTCTGACTCGCTCCATACTCCCAACTTTGGACCTGATTGGAATGAAAACATTGGACAACACCCATGTTGGGGGGCTTCCTCCATGAGACAAACCGTGCCCTTCTGTGTCTCCTTGAGTCTGCGAGGCCATGCTCCCCTCTCTGAGTCAACTATGGGTGTGTTTCTTTCACAATCTTGCCTCAATCAAGGTCAGCCCCTACCATGGGTGGTATATCGCCTTTCAACAAGTCAATTGCGGGGCTTGGCTGTACCAGCCTTTAAATACCCAATTTGAGGGGATGTGACGACATTTCTGTCCACCGCATTCACAGACAATTGCCTAAGCCCCCAAGCCCCTGCCCCCACTACACAGAATCAAACTCCCCTGGGCACATGACGCACACGCGTATGCGTTTGACTAGGCCAATGTTGGAAAAGGACTCAGTGATCACGATGCCGCCCATCGTCTACTACTCCATTAGGCCGGGGGTGGGGAGAGCGGCCAGGGGCCTCGGTGTCCTGGGTTGCCGAGACTTCTGGATGGGTGGGGACAGATGGATATTTTTTGTATATATATATATACTTGTTCGGGTACGGCCCGGCTGTTCAAAAATGGAGGTTGGTTAGAATCCCAATACGGTTTCCATCATCCCTATTGTCAAAACCACTGCCAGGGGAACCGAATGCAAAATCCTCTCGCAAATCAAGGAAAGGAATTCTCAAACGAAACTTGCAGGCTCCGTTTTTTCACTCTCGCTACAGCGACTGGGTTGCAACCGCGAAATTGAATCAGGAAGAAAGCAAATGATGTATATGGGTATGTGTCAAAATAGGGCGACCCCCAAACATGGTGGTGTTGCTTCCTCGAAACCAGAAGGGTAGCTTGACGCGGGTCTTTAGCACCCATTCATGCACCCCGCCCCAACCGAAATCGGGAAGGACCAATGGGAGTCTACCTGATTCAAACATTCAAATGGAAATCGACACCCCCTCTTTGGACTTCTTAACGTTGCTTTTTGAGGGGTTCTCATGCGTCTGAAATAAACAGGACCCCCTCCATTTTTGGTGGTTCTCAAATTGTTTTTTCTTTGGGAAAAACGAGCAACAAGAGGATACCGAGCCTGCAAAAAAAGGCAGCCAGCCTTCTGGAGGTTGCTTTCCCTGCCGCTGGCACCCGCTCGCTCAGCCGCCGCTCCCGTCGTGAGGTTCTTGGAGCTGGCGGGCATGGTGGCGGTGGCTGGGAAGTGGCTCGACTGGGACCTCCAGGCGCTCCTCGGATCGGGGGAAGCCGCGCCGCGCGCCCAGAACAGGGGTCCAAAATGAGGAGCCAACGGAAATCGGGGGCCGGGGGTGTTGGCGGGGGGTGTCCGCGAGATATCTGTTTTTCCGCCTGGAAGCTATGGATTTGGTGGATTTGGCCCAGAGAAGCGAGAAGGGTGGTTTGGGCCAGCTTTCAGTGGCGATCGTTTCAATGGAGAGAACCGCCAGTTAATTGCAACTTTTCAGGGGGGAATCCAGTGACTCCTGAGAATGGTGGTCTTGCTTTTGGTTTCCCGAAGCCGGGGCCCAACAGATGACGACAGTTTGGGACCAAGGTGCGGACAATTCTGATGTGCCGTGTTCCAGGTTTTCAGCGACCACAAGCCAGCGTGGCAGCCTGTCATTTTGCTGGGCTCATCCCAGGGTAGGAGAGATCGGGGGGGGGGGGGGACTTTTCTGGATTTTGCTCAAAAAATGAGTGGGGTGGTCGGGGAGTCAGGTCCACACGGCTCTTTTGCCGATTGTCTCCAAATCGTGGAACGCCCTAAAGTGCCGTGGTTTCCTCTCGGATTCCCTTTCAACCTCAGGTTTCCTTCTGGTTTCCCTTGGCACCTCCCACAAAACGGGTACCCCTCCCAACAAAGAAGATCCACCAGGGGCCGTTCTGCTCGCTCCAGCATCGCCGCGCGCGCCAGGCGATGCGGAGCCACTTCGAGGACGACGGCTTCATCGTGGCGGGCTTCGCGGTGAGCACCGTGCTGATGTTGGTGCTGGTGGTGCTCATCCGGACCCGGTCGTGGATCTGATCGGAATGTAAGGGCAAAACCCCGGACCGACTGATCGGATCAGGTAGGGGTACGCGTGGTTCTTACTACATGATCTTCAGGTTGTAACCAGGGGTTGTTACTGAAACACGGCGGTTTGAGTTGAGTGTTACTGATCTTCAGACTCAGTCGGGTTGTTCATGGGCTCCCTCATGCACCCTGAATGTCATTTTTGGATGAGCCAGGTGAAACAGCTGATGGTCCCTTTTTCTCTTCAGGTAAGTGGGGGTGCAACCATCGGTTCTTACTAGAACAGCGGCGGTCTGAGGTAGAATCCTGGTTCTGACGCAAGTAGGTTGAACATCCAAGGGTGCGACTTGGATGGCCTGGGGGTCAGCTGCACAAGAAGTCAACTGAAGTCTGGAGATGAATTGAGGTGGCAACCGTCTAGGTGCGGGAGTTGCCATCAATTCGGGCCTTTTGATTCTGTACCTTGGTGTTGATCGACCACTTTAGTACCAAGTTTTGATTACAATTCACCTGGAACAGACAACAGGCTTATTTTGAAGCACCAAGCCTTCCAAGAAATCATAAAGGTGCGTCATTTTTTGAGGGTGCCTTTTTTTGGCAAGGAAGACTACTGTTCTTGCTGTTTCACTATTTTCAGCCAAATTCATACCATGACACTTGGGGCTAAGAAGGATGGTGGCCAACCCTTGTAGCAAGCAAACAACGGTTATGCCGCATATGAGTCAATTTGTTGCGAAGAGCTCTCTCCGAGTATGCTTAGGTCGTCGAATGGGCCACTCCTTTCCCGGCAACTGAGACAGCTCCCCTGAATGTCACCCATCAAAACCCAGGTAACTGAGGTTCAGAAAGGGACAATCCCAGTGGATATCCGGTTTGGTTTGTTCTCATTTTGGTGGACCTCAGCTTGTGCCTCGGCTTGCCACTTGGGCCTGTGACCAGGGGGCCCATTAAAGAATGAATTGAGGGGCGTCCAGAATGAAGCAAGCGTTTTCAAGAATGAACAGTTCATTTTGCATGTCCCCCATCAATACATTGGGAGTTTTCAGGGGCTGGATTTAAGGCTGCTCCCCCGTCCATGCTTTTTTTTTGCTGGCTTGTCTCGGTGTGCTGGCTCAAAGCTTTGCACTTGCTCATGTGGCTGGTTGTCCAAGCGTTTTCTAGCGGTTCCTGTTTGAAGTCCGTTTTTTGCCCCATTCCTTTTTCCACCGCAGGACGACCCTGAGCGTGCGATGCTTGATGGATAGTCCGGCGGAGGTGTGGAGCGAGAATGAGTTCAACAACGTGCAGCACGCGCTGAAGAACCGCATCCTCGAGGACCGGACGTCGGACACGGTAAGCGGACTTCCTGTTGTTGAGTGCCACTGGCGCACCCAATGGCGTTTCGGTGCTTGACAAGTTTTTCATGCGACCTCCTGGAACTGAAATGTGGCCCTCTGAACTTTGATTTCCCTTGAAGGGAAGACTTAGACTTTCTATCCAGTGGCATCGCAGAAACGGCCCATTTTCCCACCCAGCTTGGTCCGAACCTTGACGCCTAGATGTCTTGTGCGTATCCTGTACATCTATTGCGGGGAAGATGGGAAGCCAGGCTCAGTTATCTAATTCCTATACAAGGGCCTTGCGGCAAGGAGGCCAGGAGCAACCTTGAGAATCTTTCGCGTCTGGCTTGCTTGCAACATTGGGGCAATCAACGATAGCACTGTGGCACCCCTGTGGTAACTTTGGTGCATTTTGCTTGGATGTTAGGACTTTAACTTTTTGCCAACTAATGGGTTTTCCATTAAACCACTAAAAGGTAAACTTTTAGCAGGGAGCAGAAAGCAACCGAGGTAAGATGTTGAGAGCGCAATTCGGCTTTGTTTCTTTTGCGGGGGGCTAAGCTGTGGTTTCCCATCTCCGCTGGTCCATTAAATATACACCATCCCAAAAAGGGGTCCACTGTTTTCCCCCAAAATAGATCTCCAGTTGTTCCATCTCCCATTTCCCGGGCTGGATCGTTTTTTTGCCCATGTGGACCCGTTCCTGCTCAGGCCCACATCCCGGACCCGAAGGCCATGAGGATCGTGTCCAAGGTCCTGGAGCATCACCCCAAGTTCACCAGCTCTGAATGCTTTGGCCCCGCAAGGGAAGCAGGCGAACCGGGGGTGAAGATAGGGACTCGAAGTCTGGGCGTCTAGACTTTTTTTGTTTTGCGGGAAGGGGAGGGGCTGGCCACTTCTGTCTTCCTGTTTGGTTGGACTTGTACCATACCTGAAAGGGAACCCCAGTTGACCCAAGGCAAACCTTTTAAGAGCGCCATGTTTTTTTTGGCTGGTGGCCTTCTTGTTTCGGGTGGTGGAGTTTGGTGTTGTGGTGAGAAGCCTTTGTCAGGGGTGCACAAGGGACCCGCGTGTTGCTTCAACACTTTCGTACTGCTTTGTGTTCTTGATGATTCTCGTTCCACCGAGTTGCTTTTTTGTCCACCGGTGCTGTGTATTTGTGCTTTGTTTGTTGCGGTATTGATTGAATCTGGTTAACGCGATCAGTCACTGATCTGCGCGCTGGAGCGAAAGTCTCACGCCACCTTGACGCATAGCAACACCAGTGTTCGCAGGAAGGCTTTCCCAAAAGGGTGTCAACAAGTGTACTTGCACGGTCCGGGCTGCCGGAATTGCCTGGTGGGCAGTACCTTCGAATGAACTTCCATTCACCCCCCTATAAGCCTCTGAAACCTTTGGTTACTAGTCGTTTTGCGATGCCCGCAGACAATCTCAGTATGGGAGCTTAAGGGTAAGGACTTGAGCAAGCCTCCAATGTGGAAGTGCCCTTTTTTGGAGGGGTACTCCCTCTTTGGGGTGTTTTTAAAGGGAAGCCATGAGGACAGCACTTTCCTAGGCCCGATGTTAAGACACGCCCATGCGCCGATGTTTTGGCATTTCAGCGTTGGACAAAGTTGGGAGGCCTGCCCAGCTGCAATTGGGACTCCACCTTCCTGCGCGCCAGAGTGATCTACAACATCAAGAAGGCGCGGCTGGTCGCGCTGAATCGACCGAAATGACCACCCCCGCCTTTTGAAACATGACGACTTTTCCAAGTGACCAGCAACATGCTTCAACTTTTTACGGGGTGGGGGGTGGGGGTGCGGGCTGCTTAGAGGCCACAGCCAAGAACCCTAGAACACAGATACCCTGAAGAAGGAGGTTGCAAAAATACACCCGGGCGGGGTTTGTTTGTCCCGTTAGCTTGGCACCTGGAGGGTAAGATCAAGTTTCCGGGACCCCAGTCATGCTTGGCTGCTTGGATGTTCAACACACTTGGTGGGATATAACTTGACATAATACTAGGATAACTGGGGTTGTTTGACTTACAGGAATGCTTACAATATCTTACAATGCACTCTTTGGTTTGCAGCCTTCGATTTCTTTGCCCCCAAAACGATCGTGTTTGATCGTCTGTTTTTTTGATTGTCGAACGAGGTCTGTTCAAAAAGGGGATGCCCTTTGTTTGGACTCTTTGCGTGATGAGTACTTTTCCCAAACCCAATCCCAAAACACCCAATTTTGAGAGCCTTGGGCACCTTCGAATATACATCATCTGTTAAGACCCTTCGACACCCAACACCCTGTAAGCAACACCAAGAACAAACCTCAGCCAGGGTCGTGGAAAAGCAAGAGCTGGTTACAACTTCAGAGCCTCAGGGAACCTTGAGAGTTCGGCATTTGGAAGGCTTTCCATTGGTATCACAGGAAAGGCAACTCCCACAATTGTTTTTGAAGCCCATTGGGGCCCGTCGCGAAATAGGGAACCCCGTAAATCCGTGGGTGTTTTGTGCGGGAAACGGAACCAAGCGCCCCATCCAGCCGCACATTTTGACACACAGCCAGGTGTTCATTTCTCAAAACATTGTACTGGTTGGTTTTCCTTTGAAGTAAACTCCCAAATATTTCAGCCTTCGGCCCAACCAATGTGCAACGCGTGGTTTTCCTTCAAGTGCCAACCCAAAAAGTAAAAAGAAAGCCGAGGCAGCAAAATCAAGTTGCTTGCCTTTTGGTTCCCGAAACAAAACCGGGTAAGAAGCCCTGGAGGCAGCACCGTGTGCGGTTTTCCCGTGGTTTCCCCCAAAAAGCCGCAGCCCTTCCCGGGTTTCCATTTTTTTTTTTTTTAATCACGAGCGAGGCCATGCTGGCGCTGGAGGGCTATGACTTCAGCAAGGCGAAGAAGCCGCTCGGCGAGCCCGCCTCCATGGGGCCCTGCGGTGCTTGTCCTCGTGGTTCGGGGGTTTTGGAACTCGGAGCAGGTCAGAGTTCCACCCCCCCCCCAGCAAAAGTTTTGACGCATGTCTGGGGTCATTATTTTGACGGTTTCTGGGGGTTATCAAAGTCAGAACATGGAGTTGTTCCCTTTAACCTACCACTCCGGGGGTGACTTTGAACATGGTCAAATAATGAAGCTAGCATGTGGATGCCGTTTGGGTGGATCAGAGCCCATTCAGGAAGCTTGGTATAAGCGAATAGTTCGATGGAAAGGAGATTGGTTGGTTTCAATTCGTAGCCCAGCTGCACAGGGTTAAAGAAAGCAATTGAAGGCCCAATGCCGTGCCCCCAGTTTCCCACTGAGTGGCAGCCAATAATGATATCGGTTTTATCCAGGTCTGTATACTGATTGAAAGCTTTCATTTTATTAAACCCAGCCTTATTCAACGCATCATATATGACGTCTTCAGCAGCTTGGGCTGTTATGCCAGGTTTTATGGTTTTCTTAATAATAGCCCGTGCTTTAGCTCCCTGATCGAAGGCATTTTGTATGCCGGCAGGCAAACTGGTTTCACCTTCTTTCAACACGTATGCCATGCGTTTCAGGTCGGTGAACATGTTCATCAGGCCCACGCCCCAATCGATCGTGAGGAAGTCTCCTCTCTGTATGATCCGATTGGTTGAGGTGGCTTCAACTCCATCTGGGCCTGTGATATAGACCGAAGGCATTCCGAAGGATGAACCTAAATTATTTTTGAACTGCTGATCTCTCATCCACCACGCCACGTCCTCAAGAGTGGTCACTCCAGGTGTGATTACCTCGTTTGAAAGGGCACGTTCTGCCAGAGTGTAGGACAGCTCTCCTGCTTCTGCATAAATTGCCAGTTCGGTGGCTACTCTTCTGGATCGGAAGTCTGACACTAATTTTTCTGCTGACACGAACCGATCAGCGTATTTAGCACCTAAAACCTCAGTGAGCTCAACGTGGTTGGAGTAGGTGAGCCCATCTGCGCCGCCCATGTTTTTGGAAAAGTTCAGTCCGATTCTTTTGGGGTCGCGGGTAGTCACATATTCTTTTAGCTCATCTACCGATCCAAAGTAATCATATGTTCCACCTTCCCTTAGGAGGTAGCCGTCTATTCCCAAGGCCGCTCGCTCAATACGATCCCCACCACGATCCGTGAAAATATAATAGCCTGTAGAGAAGACATATCCTTCACCCATGTCGGAATATAGCGGATCAAAATTCCCTTCACGGTTTGTGATTATCCACATGTCGATCTTGTTTTCTCTCATAGCTTCAGGCAGTACCAAGTCGAATTTGTCGTTTCTTACTTGATTCAGTTTACGCCATCTACGCATAGCTTCCTGGCTAAAAGTGGTGGTGCAAATGATGAGAAGGAAGGAGGTGAGAAAAGCTTTCATAGTAGAATGTTTGTTATAAAAATACCTTTTGTTAGACTATCATTTGTAATCCGGTGTAATATTTTGATGGCTTGTCGTACTAATGCAGGTAAAGTGAAACAATGAGCCTACAAAATTTAAATAGAATGAGCAAGACATTGAAATTGTCAACAAGAAAAAACGGCCACCGAAGAAGTATTCTGCTGATTTTGGGCTGTGTTCTTTTGGCAGGAGCCTATGTTGTTATCTCTTCCATTTTCAATGAAACAGATACGATCCACCAAATATCAGACGTGGTTTTTCTCCCGGTTGGATTTGTTCTGGTATCTCTTATTGGACAAAAGGTCAATAAGTCTTTTGGGAAGAAAAAGACGATTGGCTAGTGAGGCAGTATGATAGCTGCGCGGCGTTGCAAACTTGCGCTAGCGGGTAGATTAGCGAGTCTGGCTTTCAAGTTTGAATTTAGTTGAACCTTAAATTCCCCCTCAGCTCACGAGATACTTTAGTTAAGGTCATGATGTCATTGGCAAGAAAATAACAATAACATGTTGCCCTGTCCTTTTTCTGAATAACTACTAACTGGCAAAATTTATACTCTTTTGAGAACTCTGAATTTAGTACAACGAAACTAGAAGCTGCCCAGTCAGCACCAATACGCTGCTTTTCAAATTCATAAAGATCTTTTATCTGCGATTCTCTACCCCCAGATAAATTGAGAATTGCTACCCGCATATACCATTCAGTAGCGGTGTTTTCAGTTTCGGCAAATTCAAGGTACTCTTGTCTCTCCGCTTCGTTTGAGTATTCTCTGAGAGTTATAGGTCTTATGGCGTACCTAATTTCAACACCTTTTTCCTCATTCTTGGCTGCATATTCATATTCCATCACATCATTCAGTATAATGGGTGTTTTTTCAAAATTTTCTAATGGTACAAGCGACATATCCACTTGCCATAATATTTTGTTAAACTCTTCCGACTGTTGTGCATGCGTACATATTCCAAGAAGTAATGCGAAGAAGCTGATAAGTGTTTTCATGAGTCCTCTGATTAGTTATACAGTAACTTCATTACACAAAAAAGGTGCCATTTAATCTACGTATTCCTTTTTTCTAATATAGCGGTTTTGTTGATTATTTGTAATGCCTAGAAATAGAATTGTATGATTCAGTTCAACCAACACAACCTATGGCTTAGAAAAAGCGCCTTTTACGACTTAGATAGAATAAAAAGAGGGCACAAGCTACGAGCTTGTGCCCTGGAGTGCCTTTAGGTGGCTTTCAACAAACTTCCAGTTCTTCTCCTAATGCTGAATGATCATCTTTCGTTCTTGTATGTCATTATCGGAAGAAACTCTCAGCAAATAAAGGCCATTTGGTATATCAGAAGTATCAATGATCTGACTGTCTGCATCCAGGTTATTAACCTGCAAAACGACTTTTCCATTTAGATCATAAATAGTTAATCTACTGCCCATTAGTTCTGATCCCACAAGTTGGAAATATTGATTAACTGGGTTAGGATAGAAGCTAAATGGCTCAACCACATCATTTTCATCACTAAGGACCACCTTTTCGTTTTCATCTGCCGCGCGAGAAGAAGAACTTGGACAGGCAAGTGCGTCACCCGAAATGGTCCAGCTATGAGTTCCAGTCAGTAGGTTACGAGCTGTTTCTCCGGCACAGTAGGTTAACGTGTTGGCTCCAAGCGTAATTCCCGTTGGAATCTGTGTTTCCCCAGGATCGAGTGTTGACCAGCCAGCGAGTATGTTGTCATAGTTTGCTTGCGATAGGCCTGTACGATCTAGCATACCATCCATGTTAGTGACGTTGCTGATATCCCAACCACTAATATCTTGATTAAATGACCCAGCATAGTAGAACATTTGATGCATACTTGTGATGTTACTGACATCCCAATTACTCATATCACTGTCCACTTTTGATGCAAAAGCAAACGAAAGACTGGTCGTACGACTTAGGTCCGGTACGTCTGCGGCATTCAATGTTAGATTAGAGCATCTGTAAAAAGAAAGACTCACCCATTGATTATCACCCCATTGGTCAACGCTCGTCAGCTTTCGGGTATTCGAAAGATCACCGAAAAAGATCATTGGAAAAAATCCGGTGAGGCTCACCTGGTAAGTGCCTGGAATAGGGAATTCGATTATAGCATGTCCATTGATAGAATTCTGAGAACCAAAAATCGTGGGATCATTAACATTAACCCATTCAGCTACATAATTGGTGTAATAGGTATTGTTATGATCACTTGAAAGAATTCTTATTTCCTTACCTCCTGCGTCCGCATAGTCCGATTGCCAAGTGGTTACAAACGGGACTGTATTGGGACAAAGTTTGCTGTCGCCTGAAAAGCTCCACTGATAATTATCTATTAGATTTTGCCTTGCGCTTTCTCCGTTACAGTACAATTGCTTAATGGCTCCCAGGGTGACATTAGTTGGAATTCGCGTTTCTCCCGGGTCTAGTGTTGACCAACCAATCAAAGTGTTGTCATAGTTGTCTGGAGACAGATTCGCAAAATCAAGCATATTGTTCATGCTTGTAACATTGCTGATGTCCCAGTTCGCCAAACTTTGGTTAAAATAACTTCTGTTCAACATGTTGTCCATCTTAGTGACATTGGAAACGTCCCAGGAACTAATGTCTTGATTGAAAATAGTACTGTAGAACATGTTTCTCATGTCAGTGACACCAGAGACGTCCCATCCACTCAGATCTTGATTTACTGATTTTATGTCATCAAACATATATGCAGTACTGCTGATGTCTTGTAAATCAGGGTCATCATCACTGTTTATTTCGAGAAAGGAACATTTCCTAAAAGCATAGGACATGGATTTCCATCGGTTGTCTCCCCAATGATCTACTGATTGTATTTTGCTCTCGTTAAATCTATAAGCACCTCTATCGTTATCAGTCATTGCAATTCCAGGAAATATTCCCGTAATGGAAACCTTGTAAATGCCTCTCGTACCAAAATGTAGAGCTCTACTACCATAAAATGGGCCACTTGTGCCTGAAATGGTAGGATCATTTACATTTTCCCACTCCACATAATACCTATAGTACAAATTATCATATGTTGGGATGAAGATTGAACTTGGGTAATAAGCAATTCCATTTCCCTCAGTATTCCATGTAGTCACAAATGGATCGGTTATTTCACAATAGTTACCATTGTCCAGAATGTTCCAGTTGTAATTGCTGATCAGATATTCTTTGGCCGCATGATCGCAGGAAAATAGTCCAACTGCTCCTAACTCTACATTTGGTGGCAATGATGGCCTGGTTGCCCAACCGGCTAATGTATTGTCATAATTTGCTGTTGAGAGTCCACTGTTAGTAAGCATGAAACGCATATCAGTCACATTATTGACTTCCCACGATCCAAGACTCTGATTGAAAGCCGCAGCAGCATTGAACATATAATACATGGAAGTTACCGCGCTAACATCCCAACTACTTATGTCCTGATTGAAAGCGCGAGTCTGATTGAACATGGACTGCATCGCGTTCACTTTACTGACATTCCAGGCACTCAAGTCCTGATTAAAAGCATACGCTTTAAAGAACATC